CACCAGTGGCATCGGCATCCTACACCCTTCCTCCCTCCCCACTCCATGTCTCCCCTGGCACCACTGATCCTATCATCGCCCGCGTCTTTTGCTGCAGCTGGTCACGTTACTTTTCCCTTCGTGAATATTATCGTCTTTCGGGTTGTTTCGTCTAGTGTCGCAAACCTAATATTCACACACACACACACACACACACACACACACACACACACACATACGTTCAAGCTCCCCACCGTGTATCACCAGCAGATATAAATCAGGGCTCCAGAGTACGGCAGGTCCGATGGCTGAGGAAACAACACGAGTGTGGGTGGAGGTTCACATAATACAGACTATGGGTGGTGGTGTATGAAGCATTTTAACACACAGCCCTGAATCTTGTAGCTAGTTTTGTGGATAACAGACGTCTGACAAGGGCAGTGTTGTCGCAGTTAATGAGGTGATGCCGTATTGGGAGATAATTATGTATAAACACGAGATGGGAGAGGTGTGTGTGTTTACCTCCGTTGCAGTGGTGTGAGAGTGGTGGGACTGGGGTGAGTATTAGGTAGTGGGTGTTGTGGTGACCCAGGGTGGTAGTGGGGGGGAGAGTTGGCGGGATGAAACCTCCAAGTAGGAATCTGATCCTCACCAACACTCATCTTCTAACATGGTAGTGTGGTAAGTTATGGGTCTAATACTTGCTTAACCAACTCCACGACAACAACTTTTATTTATACTCTAGTGTGAATACTTGGACGGAATTATGGATAATGTTCTTTTTTTATTTTAATCATTAAATAAGAAGTGGTGGATTTTGTTAGTTGGTCCGAAGATGATGATATTGTCATCGTCGTCACAAGCACCTGTAGTTGGTTTGAGAGACGTGTGGTAGAGAGCGTTGGGTGATGGTTGGTGTACGTGAGGATGAAGCTTGACTCGCTCTTTGAATTCTCAGATGATGGTGTTACTTGACACCCTTTCTCCCCCTCCTCTGTACCCATCACTGGTCGCCCGTGTTCCACTGTCCCCTTACTGCTCCTGGGTAGAAATTTGGGTACATGACGAGGTTAAAAAGTTACATAAATTTGCCAGTTGGACCTTAAATAACAGTGACTCATGAAACTGATTATTTTTTTCCAAACGAATGAAACTTTTTAATAAATAAAGTTAATTTATACAAATGTCACCTTGAGCAGAGTGACATTGCAGTCACTAGATGTGTAGTGTAAATGAAATGTTCGTGCTGCAGCTGTCCCACGTAAGTACACCTGTGTTTGACGCCACCTGTCGGAGAGGGGACAACACTTAATTATAAAGTGTGAAGCGGTAACGTTATCCTGGGCGGTGTTTAGTGTGCCACACCTCCCTCGTTTACACAGGGTGTGGCCACGCCTACTAGTAAGGTACCTTCATTTTACGTTATAATGGAAGGAAGCAACACCTGCATCATATTATTGTCGGCGCCACTCTTGGGGGAAATTTAAGATGATGTATCGTGTTTTCTTTCATGATAAACATTTCTTGACCGCGTGGTTTATATTAAGTTCTGACTGCTATTTTTTTTTCCTTAATTTGTCTATTGCTTTACTTTTTCTTCAGGGTGCGTTATAATTATTTCTCCAGTAGTTGCTAGTGAAGTCGGGTGTTATTGGCTAATGGTCTGTGCGGTCTGTGCGGCAAGTTATGGAGCATCAACATGTTTATTGTATGGTGGTGTGCAGTTTGTTTGTCTGTTTCTCTGCTCATTGAAAAACGTATCAAGAATGTATAGTCTTTCCTGCTTTGTTCTTTCTTCGTTACGCACACTGTCTACCCTCAGTGTACCCGGTAATAAGTTATCGACATTGTACAGTAGAATCAGACGGTACGTATCTTTAGGGTGTTAGAGAAAATGGACACATTTTGACGGTACGGTAGGTGTTGGTAATTGTGTACAGTGTATGTGTAGGGGAGGTCGATGTGTTGGTGCTAGGCTGCACATCGGAGAAGCTGCTGTAGTGAGATGTGTAGTTCATGCACACTGATAAATAGCCTAATCTGGTGATGGGTGTGAGTACATGTGGGAGGCGAGACCCTGTAGCAACCGTGTCCTACCCACTCAACGCTCACCCTCCACACTGCCCCCTCCCCACCTCAGGCACAGTTAAGTTTCTGTCTTGAATATTCATGAATGTTTAAAGTTCACAGTTTAAACATAAGTTTTTTTATCTTGTTTTGGTAAGTTTTACAATTACTGCAGTTTGTATAACTTTTTGCCCTCCTATTTATTTAGGATTACCTCTTCACCTCCCTCCCCCCCGTCTCCCATATTCTCACAACCGTAAATAAAATTTGTGATTTTATTACAATGAGCAGTTGGGTAATACGTGTCAGTTGTAATACTGTAGTACCCCCAAGACTGTACACAACCTTAACTAGCTGGGTAATAGGGGTCGTGTGCCAGTTGATAAACATTAGTTGTCCAAATGCTGCCACTGTGTGATAATGGTACGGTGGTGTTAGATCGCTGGCAGAATTAATTATACTAAACTGTTTTGCGAAAGTAATTCTTGGTGATTAATGGTGTGGGCGGAGCTGCCGGTGGATATTGTCGTTCATTAGTGGTGTGAAGACGGTCATCAGCTGAGCGGGAAACAAGGCGCGTTGTGTCCAGCCCCCTCCTAGCTTGCTTATTCTACAAACAACCCCCTCTTCTCGTGCCCCCACCTCGTGCTTGCTTGTATAGTTCAAATGCCTACCCTAGGGAGGCAGTAGTGTAGAGTGAAGTGGTTGCGCCACGTGATTACTTTTGCAAACTGATGGTATACAAAATTCTTGGGTCCTCGCTAGCTTGTGAGTAGTCCTATCTATCTATCTATCTATCTATCTATCTATCTATCTATCTATCTATCTCTATCTATCTCTATCTATCTATCTATCTATCTATCTCTATCTATCTATCTATCTATCTATCTATCTCTATCTATCTATCTGAGTACAACAGTTTATAGATAACTTTAGAAAGACTCCTCAATTCTGTCGTTGATCTAGCCAAGGCAGCACTCGGCTCTTAACAGCTGCCACGGTGAAACCAACTTTGTACCTTCGTTTACAGCGGCTAGGACTTGGCTCACATGAAGCCTTAAAAAAAACACCCCGGATCAGTTCATGAGTGCGGCCTTCGTGCTGTACCGTCATTACATAGTCATTCATTTGTTACACTGCTGTACGTCATTTGCAGCAGACAATTAAAAGGTCGTTTTTCAAGAGTAGTTTGTCATGTGTATTTACGCTTGTTTGACCTTTTTAAATTATGTACTTTGTATTAAAAAAAAAAACTACTGTCTTAGTAGGTATAAGGTAACACCCATTCGCCGAGTGAGTTGATGTGGCGGTGAGAAACTGAACTCAATCTCAGGGTCATTGCTCTTTATCTTTTCATTCTCAACTCGTTACGGATTCACCTCATGCTTGGCCTGTAATCTCGTTACTTCTCCATTTACCTTCTCGACTTTCAACCTGAGTGTACTTTGACTTGTTTTCTTTGAGTCTGGTTCTTCTCGACGTGTTGCAGCCCTTCAGGTGCTCTTACTTGTACCTCCATCAAAGCTTGACTTGACACTTCGCATGGGTCTTTATAACCAGTATATTGTGTAATGTATGGCATCCTCTTCAACCTCTCTCCCTTGTTCCCAGCGATAAGGCTCTGGGTCGAAAAAGGAGGATGGTTGTACTGTGCGCCGGTGTATTGAGTTTTTGCCATTGGGTATTAGTTGCTTGTTCTTGTCAGTTTTGTATTTGTGGATTATATAATATGGCGTATATTATATCTGCTGTGGAGTCTTTGGTCACTGTTTTTTTTTCACACTCCGGATATTCATCGAATCAAGAATAATTCCTGGAAATATTTAGTTCAGTAGTCGGTGTAGTTTAAGGATCGACTCGAGATTTTGTTAAAAGGGTGAATTTCGCCTTTGTTTTAAGATGGAAAATATATATTGAGAAGAATGTAGAAGTTGTTTGTTTACCTTGTTGATTTGCGTTATGGTAACTACAAAGTGTTCCCAATACCTGTAATTTGTTGTATGTTCACGTGCACGCAAAATCCTTAAAAATAATCCGATGCAACGCTTATATCAAATACTGTACACACAAGAACTGCACGCAAAATTACATACGCACTTACGGTCGTGGATGCACATGTAAGACAATGACAGATAGCTTCTAACCTTTTTAAGAGTTTTAATCACCAGATGTTATGTCGTCTTGTAAGTTGCGAAGACAAATTACCACACATGATGATGATTTTGTCTTAAGTGTGGTTGAGAGGAATACAATGCAGAACAGTTGGAAATAACGATTTAATCTCGATATAATTAAAACCACGACCAGAAGCATGAAAGATCAGGTGTGTGGAGGTTAATGAGTGTTAGTATAAAGTTCAATAAAGTATGTCCCGGGTTCTGTAGCAGCCAGACAGACAGGTGACTGTGCCGCACTGCAGTACCGGTTGTCTTATCTGATCAACACTAAGGTGACTGACAATGGTGCCGCCAGTTGGTTATTGACAAGCCGGACACTCGGGTTATTGTGGCTCTCGTGTCAGTTATTTCTACCGAGCAACGAGGACCTAAAAGGGCGAATGTCTTGACCCAAATGATAATTTTTTCTCTCGTTTGCTCTCTAATTGCCAGTACAGTAGTTTTAGGTCACCAGAATATTTTATGACGTATAACAAATACTACTCGCATATGTTGTCGCACATGTACACTTGTAGACAAATGTATGCCGTACGTATTTACTTTAATAATAATTGTAAATGAATACATACGGATTAAAATTCATTAAATTACATACTCGGATACTTTACATACTAGGTGCTTCTTGCTGCGTGCACTTCTTTGGTGTACTGTGGTTATACTTGATATTGTGTTGTGATGCAGATATTATGTTGTGATGCAGATATTATGTTGTGATGCAGATATTATGTTGTGATGCAAATTAAGTTTTCAATATTGATATCTTTGTGTGTGTTGCAGATCGGGAGGACCAGAGCATCCTGTGTACGGGAGAGTCTGGCGCTGGTAAGACGGAGAACACCAAGAAGGTTATCCAGTACCTGGCCTACGTCGCCGCCTCCAAGGCCAAGGGCGGAGCATCCGTAAGTTGTTGCCATCCCTCTCACCTCTAGGTGACCCTTGTATAAATTCTAGCCGAGTTTTGTGCAGCTCTGCCACTTGTGTGGACATCTTTAAGATCTTGTGTTAACGTAGAAAGCATCTAGGTGCTGCTCTGTGCATTGTATGAGTTTATATTGTGTAGGGATCATGTAGAAAGCTTAATATTATAGTTAATTATATAAAGTGTGTTAATTATATAAAGTGTGTTAATTATATAAAGTGTGTGTAAACGCATGATTTGCGTGTCCGTACATCAGTGATTGGTTGTTTAGAGAAGCTCCACTTTATATCAAGAGTTCCCTTAACCCCCTAAGACTGAGGACTTGGTGCTGTGTGGTTACCTGTCACATATTGTCCTGGTCATTGTTGAACAATCCTGTGTGTGTATACATGTAGTTGTGTATGTGCATATACTTGTGTGTATTAGAGAGAGCAAGACGGCAAGTGGTGTGATGTTTGATCCTTCCCAGTTGACGTTTTTCAAGTTGACGTATAGATGTTAAACAACTCATGGCGCTGTAGTCATTCCCTCCCCTTTGAAATTATATACTGTATGGCACTTTTGTCCCGGGAGTGCCAGTAGTGTTCCCTCAGGACCTTGAAAGCATTTAACGCTTCGTGTGTAAGAGTAAACTGGTGGTGAAAGGAGGGGAGAATATTAGGTCAGGCTGCACCAATATGTTTAGACTTGCAAATTCAGGCTTGCTGGTCCTCTTGGTCTGATACGGTAAAAGGTTAAATGTTGACCTGGTGTGTGGTGTACCTGCGAGTGATGATGGCGCCTGATAGATGGCCCCTCCCTCCCTCCCTCCTCTTTGACGTCCACTGTGTACGTTCTTTTGTGTGTGTGTGTGTGTGTGTGTGTGTGTGTGTGTGTGTGTGAGAGAGAGAGAGAGTATGTAAAGCAGTTAACTATAAGAGATACATGTATCTTTTCTGTAGTGTAAGCTCTTTGTTTTTTAGACATCTTATTCTGTTCTGTATAAACATTTACAGTCCTTGGTCTCTCGCATTCTCCTGTATTATCAATAATTATCTTGTGAATTATGATTACTTCCTATGTTCTATTGTAGTATGAATATAGATCTTCCAACACAGAGCCTTCTTCCTTCAGCGTCCTTCATTTTTCCTTTTTTCCTTTTCATTATTTCACTCTCCAAAGTATTTATTTACATTAACGTGTTATGAGTTTATTTCTAACATCTAGCATGCTGTAATGTTGATGTCTTCACTCTTGATATTAGTCCCTGTGAAATTCGTAATAGGTCTTCATCAGCCCAGAGGTACCACGGAGTTGGTCTTACCGGAGATGCACCAGAGATTTTAATTTAGTTTTTCATCAGACAAGATAATACGGGGTGATGAGTGGTGGGCGGAGAGGGGGGTGAGATGTCCGAGTTGAAACAGAGAGGAGGTTGAGGGGGTAAACTGAGTCTAATAAGGTTGTGAGGGTGTTGTAAGTAAGTTTTCTCGTGAATTGGTCCCGCTAGGCAACAATCCTGGGGGGCTTGTTTACAGGGTTGGATCTGTTTGGGAAGTAAATAAACTGGGCACATCTCGCCTTAATGTTAAGGATATAGATAGGGATGAAACTATTTTTTTAATACGTTGCCTTATAGATCGTAAGAGGCTCTTGAGATGGTGTGTAAAGATAAATGTCAACTAGCACGAAGGAGGGAGTAAAGTATTGCACGTGATGCCACACGCCCCCTAAACCCCACATTACCTTCTTATACTTTTGTCTGCCCGCACGCCCTCGCCCCCCTCACGCCCACCTTTGACACTTGTACATAGATGAAAATAAATTCCAAATATCCTCCCAGAAAAGCGCTATTGACGGCACAGTAAATATGGGAAATCTTGTTTTAGTTCCAAGCGTATTCGGGTGTTGGGAGGTCTTCGCTGGCTCTTGGACGAGAATTAATCGACTGGTGGATCGGCTAAAATGTCAAGGTGATTGTTTGGTCTTCATTCACTTCTCTCGTAAGGAATGCGATAACAATGGTTCGAGTAAGATATTTAGGGGCTGTCATCAGTAGGAAGCCCCGAGTAATGGCGAATATTATTTTGTGGAGGATGACGGGAGTATGGGAAAGGGGATTGAGTATGGTGAAGGGAAGAGAAAAGGGGTGCAAGCATAATTGAACGAGTTGCTTATTCTTGGTAAAAATACAACAATCATGAGTGGGCGTGTGTTGTCTCGGGGACCTTGTCGGAATGAGGTAAGAGGTTCACGTCTCTTCCAAGAATCCTTATCACCAACACCACACAGGATTTATTCTCGACGTGATCAAGCCGTCCGCTGCATATGCCTTTCCCACAGCCCTCACTGGAATCGGGTGTATTATCTGGAAAAAGATGTTCGTTCTCTCCAGTCCTGGGAAGAGTCCAGAGGAACTTTCTCGTAAGGTTTGCTGCCTTGGGTACTACTGTGTATATATATATATTTGTTTTATCTAATGGACTATAACGGTTACGCATATGATAAGTGGTGGTAAGGAGAGCTGGAGGGCGGCGACTTTGGTTTGGTGGTTAATTGTGATGCTAGAGTAAACAAATGGAGAGAGTGGCTAGACTAGTGACTCTCCCCTCCCCGGCAGGAGATACTGGAGTTTGTTTGGGTAAGGAAGTCGAGGTTAAAGGGGGATGTCTCAAGAAGAGAGGTGATCTCCATTCTTTCCTATGAACGTGAGTAAGAATGCAATGAAATTAAATTGTAATTTGTAAAGATATAAGTTGGTGAGCAATTGGAGAATGAGACTAATGGGACTTAATATCTGATCACACTAAAGTTTATATGATTGAAGCCTCACAGTGTATCAAGTCCTGTACCTCGCCACTTAGCACTGAAGAAATATAGCTTCCAATAATACAATACGACATCGTCGCTCGTTAGTGAAAACTCTGTGAGAGGTCGACATCATAATGATTGCGAATCCTGCAGCTTTCTGTTAGGGTGACGTCAGCTGCCACTGACGACCTGGATAATGCAGTCTTCTGACTCGTACAGATTGGCAGGGGTCGCGATCGTGTCGCTAGTTTATCAAAACGATAAGAATATTGCATGATAAGGTTACCTGGCGATAGTAGTAGCGGCACCACACCGTCACCTCTCCCTAGTATCTGCTGAAAGCCACCACCACCGTTAAAGTTTTACGTTACCCCTTTAGGAGCAGTCATTACCAACCTGATAGATTAATGAGTATTCAGAGAGCAATAGAGCCCCGCCCCTTCCTTGTTGAGATGGCTATTATGACTTATTCCACAAGTCTCTCATGACGGGCAACTAATGACTGTGATGTCTGCTGCATAATGATGACGTGGTACTAGTACAACCACTGCTGATAGTAAGTGCCAGCCACCACTACGATAATGAGAGAGTACGGGTCTGCCTCCACCACACAACCCTCTCCCTTCACTGCGTACCATAGCTATCATAAATATGGCGCCTAGGACATAGAGAGGCTGGTATAGGGGCCCCTGTACACTAAAGACGTTTTCGAGGGTTACCTTCATAAGGGTCCGCTGTGAGAGGAGTCGGTGCACTATTTTATTAGCCAATAATGCAAGTCCTTATTGTAACGGTTATTTTTTAATAATGTAACTATAGGTGCCCATCATATATTATGCAGTAACATAAATAACTTGTATTATAATTGTTAAATAGTTATCTTCAACCATGATGTGACTTATCGAAAGTATAATGTTGGCAAACGTCGTTCTCAGTTATTGGCTCCGTTCAAGTAATAAGTAGAATGCACAGGAGCGTGAGTACTCCTGTTGGCTGTGGTAAACATTATAATTACAGTGAACGTTAAGCAAACGGAAGATTGCTCGGTGAGGATGGTGTGGTTAAAGTCGGGGTGATTACAGCTTCCAGTCTTTGTGTAATTGCCTCTCTGAGGGCGGTTGTCGAACACAGGTGTTCTGTGTTGGCAGCATAATGATGGGTATCTACCCCCTGGGTATTCTCACGCTGGGAAGGATTTAGAGGGCTGCGTTTCGTGTATTTCAGATGCGAACACGCGATTCAAGACAAGAGTGTGGTGACTTGTACGTCGCTTCCCGCACTGACATGTTCGGGAACCATCATCGATTTTGGATGTGATAGTGAGTACGGGGAGGGTTGTTTTGGGGGGCGTGAGGGAGGGTGTGTAGCTAGGGAAGGGGAGGCAAATAATAGATGTAGGTACGCCTGGGAACACAGTGCCAGCTCCGTTAACCTCGGCTCGACAGACGTCTCATTAGTTTCTCTTCCCAGACCTTGGCATCTCCCGGCGGGGGTCGAGGGGCGGGGGGTGGAGATAAGGAATCAACGCTTGATACAGGAGAAACTTCATAACGCTCGTGACAAGTGTTTATTGATAAAATGTAGAGCAAAGGTCTTCTAGTAGTAAACTGTTGGCAGGTTCAGGTTCCAGTTCAGCATGTAACATTGGGAACGTATTATTGGAGCTTGTGCACACATGTAGCGTGACTAATCTAAAAATGGGAGGGTTAGGAGGGGGAGAAGGGATATTGAAACACTGGTGTCGTAAAGATGGGTAAATAACTAGTTGGTTGTGATGGGAGATGAGGCGTCGATGGCATTGTTTCCCTGGCCCACCATCACCGCCCTCTTGTTCCTCCCTGCGTCCTCTTGAGGCTGATGAAGAGCACGTCTTTACACCGCTAATTCTACCACTATTACTCACTTACATATACTGTATGTAGCTATCCTATGTCAAGATTTTTCTCTCCATTTCCATAATTATAACCAGGTATTACACACCGTAGTTGATATTACGGTTACCTTTCCTGATGTGTATGGTATGGTAGCATGTCAGGTGTGGATTTTTGCCCTCCAGTACCTGTGGGATGCAAGTCGGGTGATCACTGTATGGATGAGTTGTATGACGTTACGAGATCCTGTATGCATGGCTAGACCCTGGCCGGGGTGTGTGAGGTGCTATGTGCAACACGCATGTCTCCACCACCAGCGGTCTCCCCTGCACCCAGATGATGCTTGTTCCTGGAGGACCCTCTATATATTGTATATATTAAGTGAGTTTAGTTACAGTTAGCTTTAATATAGACAGGATACTAGTCCACATTAACATTTAATGAAGAGATTAAAGGCTGGGTAACACATTTTACCGCGTGCTTGTGTTTTAAACTAGTATTTGGAGAGCCGTGTGTGGCCTGTTAGTGTAAGTATTGAGGGCTGCGGTGGGTGTGTTACCTAGCTGTTTATCTCGGGCTCCCAGCATGTGCATGTTTATATATCCTTAATATACCTTAACTCTTAATATCTTTCCCACAGAGTAACTACAATAACTTGGGGTTTCATCTCGGTGAACATATGTACATAACGGTTTTATAATTTGACATTTATAACCTGTACAGTCCATGTACTAATCTGCATGCTGTAAATGTACATATTTTCTTGGATCCCTCTCCTCCATGACCCCTCCCTTCCCCCCCCTGGTTCAGCCACCCTCGCCCACCAAGGTCAGTACCCATGTATGACCCTCCTTGGATTAATTAAAGACGCCCATACCTCAGCCCGAGGTTTGGCACTCCTGTACACTGCCCCTCACTGCTGCCCTCTTCTGTTATGACCTGTTTCCTTGACGACATGCCCCTGCCGCCACACCTGTATCCCTTATGACCTCCCCTGCCACCACACCTGTATCCCTCATGACCTCCCCTGCCACCACACCTGTATCCCTCATGACCTCCCCTGCCACCACACCTGTATCCCTCCTCCCTGCCACCACACTGTATCCCTTATGACCTCCCCTGCCACCACACCTGTATCCTCATGACCACCTCTGCCACCACACCTGTATGCATCATTGACCTCCTCTGCCACCACACCTGTATCCTTCATGACCTGCCGTGCCACCACACCTGTATCCCTCATGACCTCCCCTACCATCACACCTGTATGCTTCATGACCTCCCCTGCCACCACCTGTATCCCCTCATCACCTCCCCACACACCTGTCCTTCATGACCACCTCTGCCACCACACCTGTATCCTTCATGACATCCCCTGCCACCACACCTGTATCCTCATGACCTCCCCTGCCACCACACCTGTCCCTCATGACCCTCACCTGCCACCACACCTGTATCCCTCATGACCTCCCCTGCCACCACACCTGTATGCCTCCCCTCATGTCTCCTTCCTCTGCCACCACACCTGTCTCCATCATGACTTCCCCTGCACACCTGTATCCTCCCCCCTGCCACCACACCTGTATCCCTCATGGCTCCCCTGCCACCACCTGTATCCCTCATGACCTCCCCTGCCACCACACCTGTATCCCTCCGCGGCCTCCCCTGCCACCACACCTGTATCCCTCATGACCTCCCCTGCCACCACACCTGTATCCCTCATGACCTCCCCTGCCACACCATCCCCACGGCCTCCCTGCCCACACCTGTATCCTCGGCCTCCCCTGCCACCACACACCTGTATCCCTCATGACCTCCCCTGCCACCACATGCATCCTCATGACCTCCCCTGCCACCACATGTATCCCTCATGGCCTATCCCCTCGACCTCCCCTGCCACCACACCTGTATCCCCTCATGACCTCCCTGCCACCACACCTGTCTCCATCATGACCTCCCCTGCCACCACACCTGTATCCTCCATGACCTCACCACACCTGTCTCCATCATGCTTCCCCTGCACCACACCTGTCTCCATCATGACTTCCCCTGCCACCACACCTGATCCTCATCCCCTGCCACCACACCTGTATCCCATCATGACCTCCCCTGCCACCACACCTGTATCCATCATGACCTCTGCCACCACCCCTCCCACACCTGTATCCCTCATGACCTCCCCTGCCACCACACCTGTATCCCTCATGACCTCTGCCACCACACCTGTATCCCCATGACCTCCCCTGCATGACCTCCCTCTGCCACCACACCTGTATCCCTCATGGCCTCCCCTGCCACCCACATGTATCCCCTCACCCTCCACCACACCTGTATCCCTCATGACCTCCCCTGCCACCACACATGTATCCTTCATGACCTCCCCTGCTACCACACCTGTAACCCTCATGACCTCCCCTGCCACCATACCTGTATCCTTCATGACCACCTCTGCCACCACACATGTATCCCTCATGGCCTCCTGCCACCACACCTGTATCCCCCATGACCTCCTCTGCCACCACCTGTATCCATGACCTCCTGCCACCATACCTATAACCCTCATGACCTCCCCTGCCACCACACCTGTATCCCTCATGACCTCCCTGCCACCACACCTGTAACCCCTCATGACCTCCCCTGCCACCACACCTGTATCCCTCATGACCTCTGCCACTACACCTGTTCCCCTTATGACCTCTGCCAACACCAGTAGGTTCATGACCTCTCCTGTCATTATCACCCTCCTCCCCATTTGCTCGTCATTTCCACATCTCGGTAAAAAAAATGATTCGGTGAGTGGCGTGGGTAGGTTGCGCGCGTCCCCCCCCCTTTTTTTTTATCTCCAAGTGCGTTTATCTCCACTTAGCTCCGCACTTTATTAAAGACACCGCAGAGGATTATATACCTTTGGCAATTCGGTCACCTTATCAGCCATAGCGGTTGTGAGTAGCACCTGAAGCCCTGGGAGGTTTCTTTTTTATCACAAGCTTCACACAAGGATGTATATAAGGTGTCCTGCCAACAAGTGCTTTGCCTTCCCCCTGCACCATGTTAGTAAGGATCGAATTTTCGAGTCGAGGACCAAATTTGCTTAAGCATTTGCACATTTGCATTATCCCATTCATACAGACTATTAAAGTATTTCATTAAAAAAGAATCCTGTACAGTATTTCCTCGAGGGTGGGTTTAGTGCATAACTAATGGATGTGGTTTGTGGTAATTAATACTAAACTACTTTGATGGGTTATATGCTATGATGACGTACACTAATGGGTGTCCTGCAGGGCTGTGTGTACGGTCTACTCGTGAATAGATCTATGGCACAGCCTGATTTCCCCCTTTCTAAAGTCAATAAATATAAACTTGAGACACACAACAGTTGCTACTAGCGTCACATGTGTCGCCGTGGTCCTGACACTGGCGGTACTGTACACTAAATTAGATAATGCTCGGCTACCCTATCGCGCTGTGTCCTTGTGTGGGTTATCATCATCTTGGCTTTTACTAGTCTCAAACCTTCCTATTTAAAACGACTATTAAACGGTAACGCAATAGACATTTAGATAACCCAAAAGTTAAAGGGATTGACTCGAGTGTCTTGTGAAACGAAAGCTCAGGTTTTACACTCACCCACCATGATGTCGCTACGTTTACGGATTCACGTTAAGATATTAAGGAATTTCTTTGTCGGAACTTGTTGAATCTTGAGCCAGCCTCCCCCCCCTCCCCCCCTCTAGAAAAAAATAATAACCATTTTTATGATGGTAGTGTGTTGTCCCTCTACCTTACATTGTACCTACCCCTCTGCCTGCCTCGAACCCATCCAGAATTCGTATCCGCTGGTTTTGCCCCCAAACTTTGTTCACTCACTCACTCACTGCTGCCTCCTGTGTACCTACCACTCTGTCCTCCCTTGTTCCCTGTGCTGTTCCACCCTCCAGTATACCTTCTCCTCCTCTTGCCTTATCCCTACAACTCTACAGTCCAAGTTAGCGTCCAGATAATCTACTAGGTGTATAGTGGCCAACCTCCTCCCTGCATGCCCCCCAACCCTTACCTGCCTAGTGGTGGCCTTCCCCCCACCAGAGGGGCTCCTGACTAACGGTTCTCTGGCTTTCTTCTCCGGGCTGGGCTCCTACAGGGCGAGGAACAGACACAACAACATACGGGCAACGTCTACAAGTCCGTGAGTACACCTTCTTCCTTCTTTACCAAGACGCCTACACACGTCTCTTGCACAGCCTGTCTTTGATGCTGTTACTCCCTGGGCATCCTCATGCACTCCTGCGGGTGTTATGAGGCTGACGGAGGTTCTTGTACCCGAGATGTACACCCACTCACCATTTTCATCCCTGGACACCTCTCATGCTCCTATTAACTTGAAATATAAACATTCAGTTAAGGATCTTCAATTATTCGAGGGTTGGTCTTATGCTGTAAAATATTTTCCCTCGAGGTGTGTTAAATATTATTTGTTTAATAAGATGGTTCCAGGATCATTATCGGTGAGTGGGCTGAAACTGTTACCTTCCTTTCACCTGTTGATTTAGTGTGGCACACGCTTTTCTTACTCCTTCATTAACCCAAACTCGCGTTAGGTTATGCTTCTGCTTTAGTGTTGGTTACTAATATCTTGGGAGACTGCAGTAGTTCCAAGTAACAATGTAAAAATTTACCTTCTTCACCTCTAACATGGGTGTATTAGCAGTATGGACTAACTTGTAAAAAATAGTAGTACAGTGCCGATGAAATATGATTATACTAGGTACATGTCCCCGTCTGAACTGCCATAAAAGAATTGGGCTGGGATGGGTGTGGGCGACCAGCAGGAGCGCTATTGATGGGCGGAGTACACCGTCAGAAGGAACACTCGGGTCCTCAGGTCTCAGTTTTTGAAGTTAGGACTCCATTGACGGGGTCCTCAAGAAGATTTAAACCTGACGTGTATCTGAACGGATAAGGTAAACCGGGTTGTCCAGTGTAGTAGGCATTAATCTCTGTTAGCTGAGCGGAGTAAACCCGTTACAAGGTTGGTGTACATTGTGTTACATACTGTACAACACACACCTTGTTGAGAGACAAGTGAATAATGTTCGTAGATGATGTACAGTAAATTTATCTGGCAAAGTAAACGCTGGCTAGGACTTATGGCGCCTATTACTGAGAAGGTATGGATGTTGTTGAAGGTGTAATTTAACGCGCACACACACAGGTAAATATTATCCCCTGGCGTGTAGCTGGGGGGGACGGACGGTATCTCAGAACATATTAAATGAGTCTCCATCCTTGCCGCCGTGTTACCGTATGTGGGTCTAGGATTCCATCAATACTCTCCATTTGTCCTCATTATATTGGGGAGTTTTGTCGTGTTACCTGCAACGGATTTTATTAACTCTAGTGTTTCATTGAAGAACATGAAGAAAAAAATCGTAACTGGAAACAAAAATGAATTAAACTAAACCAATTGAAAAACAACATTAAACCTCATTTTTTTTATGATTTATAAATGGATTCAGTGGACTGTTGGTTTAAACTGACGTCACACCTGATCTCTTAGTGTGGATATAAGCGTGTCGTATTATACCGAATTTACGTTAAATTAAACTAATTCTCTGACTACTGGAGCCCCCAGCCTGACCTACCAGGAGGCTGTGCCGGCTCCACCAAGTTGTTATTGATAGTGTTGTGGTAGGCGTTACTCCTCGTTTTCTCAAATGGTTACCTGCGGTTTAATATCTTAGATTTATCTGGTGTTTTTCCGTGTTAAATGGTGTGTAATTATTGGGTTGATGGAGAAACTATGATGCTTGCCACGCCCGCACGTTTAGACTTCCATCCATCATTGGGTGTTCACTTGTACAAATATATGTTTATGCTGCAAAAACCAGTAGATTTATATATTTGTCTGTCAAATGAAATCATAAAATTTATTGGATCTGGGCACGTGATGTGTTGTGAGTACTGACCTCGGCCTGCCACTCCAGCAGCTACACATCAGCATTGACCAATAACTATTGAGGTTTTAGGCCTTGTGGTGAGGCAGAGCGTTCAGCCACACTCGGTGATCATTTTGTGGTAATATCCACTTTGTCGATGATTTACGAGGTCACGGGTTATCTAGCGAGGGAGGAAGGATGATGTGGTTTGTATTTTCCACACTGATGGGGTCCGCCAGCCTCACACAGGTATCCAGATGTGAGTGCAGAAACTTAACGTTTCCTCTACTACCATCATTTCAACTCTGAATGACCACTATTCTCATTATGTCTATTCTGAAAACAAAACCATTAACTATACAGGACAAATATCAGTCTGTTCAGTTAAGTCAGGTTTGGTAAAGGGATCACCGATGATCTTAAGGTAACAAGTGTCAACGGTCATGAACTGATAGTAGGTAGACATTCTGGGGAATTTGTGACATTTTCAAAGTAAACCAAAAGGGAAAAGAAGTGGGGACCCAGGTATGGACGAATAAACCGTGGGTACACTCGCTGCAAAAAGTCTCATCAAAATTTTTGGCTAGACAATGACACGACGGACGAAAGATTTTAACAACCCTACCGAAACCACAGGAGGCGCGTGTTCATTAGGACGACATCCATCGGGACCACTCCTCCTCCTTGCAGATACTTTTCGTAGCGAGTTTACATCACCAAATATTTTAGGGAGGAACTTATCATATGGAAGCGTAACTGATAGATTGAAACTCGCATTCTTGTCAACTCGAGTTTTTTTTTTCTGGCGATTGTGAGGCCATAACCACAGTAAACTACCACATGTGAGTTTTTACTTATGGGTTGACGTTTCCAAAGGTGCCGTACACTTGTCCTCGAACCTTGGACACTTCGGGAGTGTTTTATACAGTATTTGTATTAGTTAAATTGACTTGACTAACAAATCATTTCTCTCTTATAATGGAGCGATGCATGACGTTTATGGTGTGAGGTGTAATCAAGGGGTTGTGGTTGTTAGGACAAAGACACAAACGGAGAGGTTAAATAACCCCTCAATGATTTGTGGAGGTTGTGTTATGTGATACACGGCTGCTGGTGCTGCACACACACATAATTTAGTCGATAGATCCGTGAACAACGTACATGGGGATGTATGTATTGAATCGGAAATGGTGAGTTTATACACTGAAACAAAAAAAATCCAAGGAAGAAGGAATGCAGATTGTAAGGAGTTGACCTGCATTAGTGGCAACTGGAGGTCAGTGACCCTAACACGCACCACCACAGTCGCTTACAGTGTTGTCTTTGTTGCCTCTGTAATATGTAGTCAAGACTTGTTCACACTCGGGTTAAATACATTTGGTAGGGCCGATGAATAGTGATTGTGTATGCATCTATTTTGGGTCATGTAGCTAGAGATCACCGAGCCAGTTCAGTTGACCTCACCGGTGTAGCCAGGTCAGTAGATAGTACAGTAGATGCGAGTCATGGGATGGTCACTTTATAGAGAGGTAAACGGTGTGTTGATCTAACGTGATGGAAGATGGAACTTTCCACCATCTTCACCCAGGAGCACCACGGGCAGCAGCTGACACTTGTTCAGCTTAACCTCCCAAGGATGGGGGATCATGTCGGCTCCACGGGATAGTGACGATCGTTCCACTGTATGAGGTGCCACGCCCGTGTACATATAAGGCACCATTCAATGACCGTAGTAAAATTAAGTATGATCGAGTCGCTCGTAACGTGTACGCTGTTGTTGAAAGCTATATGAAGTTGAAATATATTGATGGACTAAACTTCAAATAAGAGTTAATAGCTTTATATATATATATATATATATATATATATATATATATATATATATATATATATATATATATATATATATATATATATATATAATCCTCGTTTGGATTTTTTCACATTTTAATACTTACGAATATTCTTATTTTTTTAACACATGGAAGATTATTCTCGTAATTCGAAACTGCACTTGGCATCCACGATTTGTCTATTTTCGTCTTTGTTTGAAATTGTAGGTTAAGTATAGATTAACCACATAATTTAAGTGAGAACGGGAAATTTTCCAGATAATATACAGTATAGTTATTAGGGCGTTTGTAAAGGAAAACAGCGTTTTGTGGGGATTTATAGTTATGATCGCCGCTTCCTCCCTCTCTCCTCTCCGCTGCTCTGGATGCTGGGTGTACTACCCTTCCCCCTGGACAACCTCTTGGTGGTGGTGTACCGTTGGTAAGTGTGGCCCTGTTGTACGTGGGGTGGCAGTTGAAGGTGGGGGGGTAGAGCTGAGCAGCGATCGTGCTAAGGAGGTTAACTCCCGAGATCTCCGGTGTGATGGCTCTCCGGCAGTGCACCATATGGGAAATACTCCTCCGACACAGACGTTCCCTGTGGCCGGGTTTCGTGCCGAGGATGGTAGTTCAGTTATACAGGGAAGGAAAACTGCTTGGTAGGACCACTTAGCAGACTCATTAAGCGACAGTGGGCTAGATTAGGGGTACAGGTGGTGAGCATTCGAACATGATAAAAAAAAGTGTCAGTCGGCGGGAAGAAAGCTAGGCAGGGGTTGTGGGGGAGGGGAGGTTGTTGGGGGTGGGCAGTGGGAGGTCGAGACTGGAGACTAACATGACTCGGCGCGGGTACTTTAGGTGTAGCGTTGATGAGCTTGAAGGCCTCGGGCGGATTATGGTACGTGATGTACTGCCTGCTCCACACTAACGCATTCCAGCCTCTACCATTTTTTACCACCACCTCTTAAAACAGTCGTAATTAGTCGAGTCACTGTTGGAGATGTACCAATGACTCGGCATGTGGTGTATTGCTTGAAGGTGCACCCGGGAACATGATAAACGGCTTATGGAGTTTTTAAAGTTGTGCTCAAGCGTAAAGATGTGGTAATGGCTGATAGATGGAGGAAAAAGTTGTGAGCGGCTGTGTAGGAGATGGAATTTCTTGTAAGCCCTTTGGTACCGAGGTGGGCACCACGAGAGTTTGAGACAAGAGGCAAAGGAGAGATAAAGTGTTTTAAGTGAAGTTGGTGGGTTATTGTTAATGATTTCAAGTGTTTAAGCCACTGTAGTGGAGGTTAGCAGTGTTTTGGTAACAGCGGACGCCACGTTAACTGAATCATTCTCGTCATAAACCTCCTCTGTGAACTGTTCCAGGAGGTCGTCTGCTTCAGACATGGTCAACGAGGTTATGCCCAGTCCCGTAGTTTCATATACTTGCTTGAAGGAAGGTTCGCGACAATTAAAACAAGCCTGCGCGAACTTGAGAACAGGAACAGCATAGAATCGAGTAAGTGGAAGAAGGGGAATAAGGGGTGTTCATGTGGTGACTTTCTCCTCCTTGATCTCTGACCCGGGTGTGGGCAGGGCGGCGCCGTAAGGTGGTGTGGACCCCGCAGGTTAGCGGGAGTTGCGTCCTTGAGGGTGTGAAGGCGCGGGTCGTTGTGGGCCCCAGGCGAGGGGTCGTCGCCACCTTTGTGTTGTTTACTGGGAGGAATTTGGCGGAGAGAAACACCGACACGACCCACCGATAACCCACGGTAGTAGTAGTTAAAATGTTCTTGCTCTTCATCGGCGAAGGTCTTTGAGCGCGTAACAAGGTTATTAATACACTCGTCCAAAATTGAGATATAAAACTCTAGATCATCCACTGGGAGTATAAGGTGCAGTGCACTGGTGTTTAGTTGTACTGTGTCGTGGACGGGTCACAAGGGTGAAACATATATTCCAGCTTGGTGGAGAGATACCCAGGCAGATGAACGATAGTGACAAGGAAAATGTTTTAAATGGAACCAATGATTATAGTAGTAACCTCGCAGGACTTGATTTATCCAGAGAAAATTTAGCGTAGATGGGTTGTGTTTAACACCGATTAATGAAAATGACGCTGCTACCTGCATATAGGTTACCTTAACACCTAGTGTGATGAACCGAGTCATCTTTATGGATGTTGAACCCGTTAGTGTAAGTTTACCTCTACTGTGCAGATGTAATCCTTCAAAGGATACAGTATTCACTTGTACATGAACTTCTTCACCGTAACGCAACATCGTCACACCTGTCACTGAGAGTCAGGTCATAATTGTGCTGACTCTTTTCGGATGAGTAGAAATCCTTTTTGTCTGTAATTAGATTTTTTTTACGCGTGGTTACTTAAAAATTAAACCAAGGTGGACGTGTATAACTCCTATCTATAGTATTAACGGAAATATAATGCCGCTACACGTAATTAAACGACTACAATAGGTAAAATACTCTTGAGCGGTCAACAGACTAGTTGTGCCAGGCGCTAGTTCTGTCTTGGATTGGTTTAACATTTAAGATAAATAAAGTACGGCAGAAATCTCACATTGAATTAAAGTGAAGATTTCGTAAGGAAAAAAAATCGTGGCAACGTTGTCATTATTTGTGAACCAGTCTGCGTTTTTTCCACCGTCACGTCACAGCTTAGGCGACAACTGCTTATTAACTGCTCGTTCGTTTATGACGGAATGATAGGGAGGGTGCGCGTTTCCTCCTGTTGGTGATAGGGGGGCGGTGTGGAGGTGATGGCGTGCTTCAACATGATTGATGCTTGTGGCTGTCACTGGAGGGTCAACTCTGTCAGGAATCCAGCCTCGGGGCCCTCTGTTGGGTCTCGTTACAGGATAATCTCTGTTTTGCAAGTCGTCTTCATCCATAAACATGGTTTAAGGTGTGGCCTCGGGAACACTCGCCGCCTAACCCTTGCTAAAGCCACTCCGCACGTCGCCCCTTGTTGTTCTGGTTCGTCTATGGCCAGGAGGTAATACTGGCTGCAATTAATAAGTTATGGGCAGAGTATATGCCATGCGGTTCGTGGAGACCGGGAGGAGTCTTAGAAAGTCAGCGAAGCTGTATTTGTATTGACTTGTGGGTATTGATGGTGTACCGAGGCGGAGTCGAAGCTTTATTTATTCAAGATTTATTTATATTAACAATAACTTGTTCTGCTTCTTACTCTCATAAGTTTGTGTAGTTAAGTTTTTAAGATCCGACACGTCCCCCCCCCCCTTCCCCCTATCATCATCCCCCTAGTATAACCAACGTGCTGCCCCCATCCCCCCTTTGGTGAAAGGTAAAACCCACTTGACCCCGACGCTTGACCCCATGCCACCGGCGTCGTGTCTTAGCCATGATCGCTCCTGGATGACAGCCAAGCAACAGTCCCGGTACTGTACATCCGAGCCTGGGGCTGGCCTGTAATTCAGGATGCATACCGGCTGGAAGCAAGATGTACGTGTGCGTGTAGAGGGAGAGGGGAGGCGGGCAGGTGGTTATGTGGTGGTGTGTGTAGTCGTGGTGTCAGAGGTCACCATGAACTAGGCTGAGTCTACCCCGAGTCTGGTCGCGATTCCCGGGCCGGTGGAAGTTGTTTGGACATATTTCCTAGCCCCCATTAGTCCCTGTTCACCTAGCAGTAAAGTAGGTACCTGTTGTAAGTCGAAAGTTGCGAATTCGTATTCAGGGACAAGTTGTTGGAGCTTCCAATAACTTGATGACATAAACCATTAACTCTACAGGCTTCTACGCCCTTAACTCATGAGACATAAAGGCAAGCATGAACTTAGCATGCTTCCCTGTTGGGCGCTGTAAACTCTTCTGCGCTTCACCTTACACAAGGATGTAGGGGAGTGTCCAATAAATAAAAAAAAAAAAAATCTGGTCGCGTCCTTGCCGGTACACCACCACCATACTGTAACCGTATGGTGCTCTGGCACGAAAATTTTTAAGGTTCCTAGACTTAGTATTGGAATGAATTGTATACATTTCTTGCACCAAAAGTACGGCTGTCGAGTTGATACAGCACTTGCCTCCTGTTCCTTGGGTCGGTGGTTCGGTTCCCGGGTGCTCTCTGTTTACCCAGCTGCAAATATTTACAATTTGGGTAAGTGAAGGCGGTCGAGTGTAGTTACCGATGATACTGCGTCCTTCTGTACCGAAGGCTTTATTATACAGTGTGTTGTACCCACACTGTCCCTATTGGGCAGTAATGCCTATGGGACCCATTTTCACCAGGACAACTTTGCCATAGAGAGACTATTGGGTATCATTCTATGGAAACTGGAGGACTACGTATACAGTACAGTATTTTCGTTTCAGTCACGACCCAGAGCATAAACTATAGGACGTGGTGAATGATTCGCTAACACATGGATGTTAATTCTTTTTCGTTGTCTTCAAAATGGGAACTTTAACGATACCTAGAAGCATGAGTAGTTAATAACCAGTATCTCATTTATAGTATTAACCTCTAACATGATACTAATACGGGGAATAGCATGTGTGTTCCTCCTGTTGATGTCCGTGTGAGTGTGTATAACTTGTTGAAGGATGAAAGTGTATGTTTACAAATTGTGAAGGAGATTTTGTTGTAAATGTTGTGTTGTATATGGATAAAGTTTTTATACAGTTAATATTAGGGCGTGTGTGTGTGTGTGTGTGTGTGTGTGTGTGTGTGTTCAAAGATTGAAAAAAGGTGAATATGCAGGAAGTTGTGAGGTGGAGCTTGTCAGGCAACTGGATATCACCATTATGAAAGTCGCTACTGACGTTTTAGTAACTCAAGTTTCTCAACACTTCTTTCGACGCATGAGTTATGAGAAGATAGTTTTTATGTGGTTTACCTTTCGTCTGGACTTTTATTTATATTTAAAAGGTTTGGTTTCAGGACAGAGATGAGGTAACTTTAATGTGAGAACTATTGTTTATTTTTTTGTGTGCATTGCTTTATATGTATAACGTGTTGGAGAGGTTGAACCGTGGTGGCGACAGCTATGATAATCTTTTTTTCACCATTACAGGCCGCTCACCAAGAGAACAAGGTAGGCTGTGACTATGGCGCGGAGACCCACCAGTCTCCTCCTCACCTTGTTTAGTCGGACGAGAGATTTAATCCCTTTAGTATTTAGTTAGTATTAACACTAGGCGGGGCTACGGGGGCAGCCGGACCCTCACGCCTTCATGCACTTCTAAATCCAGACACACACTGACCTCATATATATATATATATATATATATATATATATTCGTATTCTGAAATTTCCGTTATATCCCTTCATAGTATTGAGAAACATCAAATTCCCTCGACACTCGTAACAATATTATTTATTAAATAATCTATTAATGTTTTTAAAGACAAAACGCTGAGTGTCTTATGATTGAGGCACAACTTAAGCTTTTGAAATAATACAAAATCGACCATCTCACTTAATGAGAAATAACCCAACTTTGATTAATTGATGAGTAACCTTTTTTTCGGTGATTATTTTAATGGGGACTTGACGAGTCCAGCTCACTCGGTCCTCATGTGTGTACAGTAGGTCCAGGTAGGATAAGTCTCACCAGCACCATCCTTTTGTCAGGCCACTGCTTGAAATTTTTTATGTGGAGTGACTGGTTTATACTGTAGGTTAAGTGAACCCCAGTCCTGAGATCCTAAGGTCAGATTTGATTAGTTTGGGACTTTTTAGCACTGGGCTCATTTGGTCAGTTGGCGAGGTAGTGTTGTCTGGTGGAGGGAGTTGTGTGGTGGCGGGGGAGGTTGCTGGTGCTGCCTCCCTCCTAATATAAACAACAGTTGCATGGGGATATAAAGGGCTGTGTGCCCCTCAGTCACCGACGTCTTAAGTATGTAGCAGTGCGATTGTCTCGGTGCAGTGTGTGTGTGTGTGTGTGTGTGTGTTTGTGTGTTTCCAATGACCTCTGTTATTGTTGAGCAGTGTAATTGCTAAGTTTAACAGTGAGAAAGTTTGAGTGTCTTGTTTCTAGCAACTCATCCTTGTGATCTTCTGTTTCCGGTTACGCGGATACAATTAGCTGTATTGCAGTAAGGTGTCGGGCGAGTGCGGTTATTAACATTTTCTGGCACCCTATTTCACACTAAGGGTCACTTTAACTGTTTTGGGCTCGATGGAGAACTTTCCCACCATGTAATGACAACTTTGTGTTATAAACGGGATTTATAACCGTATCCATACAGTGTGTAAAGAACAGCTAATAATTCTGTGTGGATGCCCGTTTTTTGTGTTCATCATCTGCCTATGACCTATGTTAACACGTGTCGACTAGTTGGAACATTTATCTGGTTTCTATAATATGTTCATCCCTACGGAATAGTTTGAAAACTCTTTTGTCAATTGACCTGGACCTCCGCCCGTTGGTTATTTCGACTTTAGTTCATCCTGTATCCTGAAAAAGTATTTTACGATTGAACGGGAGAGGAAATTTTGTTGTAGGTTTTTATTATGTATGAAAGAAGTGACCTTTCCGTTTGTTTGAAGAAGGCGTTATTGGTCTGAACAAGTGTGTAACAATAGTGTAGACTTGTGATCCCTCCCTGGTGCGTCTCCACAGGCTCTTGACAAGTTAGTTGACAATACAGTACATACACCACAAGTTAGTTGACAATACAGTACATACACCACAAGTTAGTTGACAATACAGTACATACACCACAAGTTAGTTGACAATACAGTACATACACCACAAGTTAGTTGACAATACAGTACATACAACACAAGTTAGTTGACAATACAGTACATACACCACAAGTTAGTTGACAATACAGTACATACACCACAAGTTAGTTGACAATACAGTACATACACCACAAGTTAGTTGACAATACAGTACATACACCACAAGTTAGTTGACAATACAGTACATACAACACAAGTTAGTTTACAAATACAGTACATACAACACAAGTTAGTTTACAAATACAGTACATACAACACAAGTTAGTTTACAAATACAGTACATACAACACAAGTTAGTTTACAAATTCAGTACATACACCACAAGTTAGTTTACAATACAGTACATACACCACAAGTTAGTTTACAAATTCAGTACATACACCACAAGTTAGTTTACAAATACAGTACATACAACACAAGTTAGTTTCAGGAATGTCAGGTGTACATAGTTGAAGATTCATTAACTAGATTCTGTTTCTTTTAGTTCGGTTAATTTTATGACCCATTGGATTTTACTGTATAAGGAATTGTGCCTGGTCAAGAACACAAGTTTAAGGAAAGCTTCTTTTGTTTGGGAAGCCTCAAATATACTGTAGGTAAACATTGGTGCCTAGTATGGACCAGTAAGCCTGCTGTCGTTTCCTTCTTGCTTGTGTTTTTATATAAGACTGTGTGAAAGTGGAGTACTGTACTATAGTGTCTGATGTAAAGGTGGCGACCAGTTTTACTTTTACAACTTTCAAGATTATTCCAAATTATCCAAACTGTTTACTAGTCAGCAGGCTTGTGTAACAGTATGTTTGTAATGCTGGATTGGTAAACGACATTCTCGATGCTTTCAGTGATAAAGATTGTGAGTATACTTTTTGTGAGAAACTGTGCAAGAAGTTGTTGGTTTAAATGGAACTGTAGGGCGTGTGGCCGTGTCACCTGGATAGAAAGGTGTCCCTTCACTTCGGTATCGTTACCTGCCAAGAACAGCGATTCGAGTCTTAAACGCCCAGGGTAGCCTAGCTCTTCAAGGGACCGTGTGCAACTTATACGACTCAGCGGGACACTTAAGATAATGGTGTTCTTGCTGGGTGATATAGAGAGCAGTGGATCGTAACTACCATATGTTACCAACACTTTTACTGGTTACTACATCGCCTGACACAAACTTTAAAAGAGTTCAGTTTAGGGGTGTTTTTAAATTCCTCTTGGCCGCCTGTCACTTGGTGCTTGTGGTGTAAAGATGGGCGTGGTACTTGATATACCTGGCTAAGTACTTTAAGTGTGGCAGATGTGTGGGTACTTAGTGTTGAGAGCCTGTCTTGGCTGAATACAACCGCCATCCACCACTTTATCTTGCTGCGACAAGAGCACAAAGGCCATGGTGGATGACCGACTGCTTTACTATGGTCACCAGTACCCGTGGTGGTCGTATGCTGGGAGTCCAGGCGTGTTTGTTAGTGTGGGTCGGGGGGTTGACTGGTACAGCATTAGCCCACTAGGACTACGGGGTTGATTGGTTGTTTTGATCTTGTCTCTCTACCGTGCATCATCTTACGTCGCTAGCTGTCCCGCCAGCCGATGGTATGGGACATACCGATACATTTTACGAGTGCTTTTTTTTTTTTTTTTTTCAAATGAGGTGGTCTAGTAATGTTACTAACATTAAATTTATGTAGAGGTAGGTGAAGAAGACCTAGCTAGGTTCTATGTGCTCTGCGGCTCACTTAATGAGATTATAAGGTGGCGTCACGTGTTTAACCTTCATGTAAGCTGTAGCCTGTAGGACTTCCCTAGTTTGTATTTGCTACAAAATGCTTACATGTGTCTATGCTAAGACGTTGTCATATACCGTAATACACGACAGTGGAGGTGGGCTAAATAGAAATTAGGGAGTTTGTGGGATTCACCCAGTTGATGACATTGTTAATCATTATTAAACCAGGACAAGTTATTCAGGTAAACGAAGTGAACATAACGTTGTCTCTGGGTGGGGTGTAGGTGGTAAATTTTTGTGCGTTGGGAAATTATGGTAATAAGTGAGTTTAATGACGATAGCCAGATTTTAAACGCGATTCCATGTTTCGAAATTCCGCGCTCTGATTGTTTACTGGCGACCTAGTTGCGTTGGTTGTTCGCTTACCTTTGTATTTTGTATTGAAAGATGCTTTGTAATTTGGTTTATTTTTCTAGTGTTGGAAATGGATATATGAAGAATAAGATACTAATGCCATTTACTGAAATTTTTATTTGTTATAAGTTGAAGGTGAAGATACTAGCAGGCGATGCTGTGCTTGCGTGGAGGAGGAAGCAGTCAAGTGATACATCAGCCTGAGGACAGGTGCTGGCTGGGCCGTGTGTGGTAGTCTCTTGATTCTGTTTATGGTGACCGCGGCATTAGTCAGGCCAGACCATCCTTCATGTTGCCAAAATGGTGGGCGGCACCCATTGGCGTCCAGCACAAATGACCTCTTAACCACCTCGCCCGATATCCAACTCATCATTACACCATTACTTGCCGCGAGTTGAGAAGCGTGTTAGCGCCTGCCCTGTCTGGCCCTGGGTGATGCCTGTGATGTATTGGGAGGGTTCAATGGTGGTGAAAGTTAAGTTAGCTAGTGTTGAAAGGATTTTTAGTGTGTTAAAGTATATATCACAAGGAATCACTTTTAAATTGTTATTGATTCGGAACCAAGATTTAAATGTCTTTGAGAAGCCACACTGTATAGTATGTGGCACCAGGCGTCCAGGATGTAATGAACAAAGTCTGACTGTGATATTATGAGTAAGTGGTAGGAGGAAGCAGGTGTTCATACCAGCACCACCAGAGTGTTGCACCTCCTGCTAGTTTGACCCATCACCACCAACAGTGTCATTCCCCATTAAAAAAAAATAGTCATGGTTACAGCTAGATATCCTGTGTAGCCTACTGGTGGGAGGTAGGTTAGTCGCTGCCGATCTCCCGTCCCCCCAACTTAACTCACCAGTTTCGGCCTTGTAAAACACACACACACACACACACACACACACACACACACACACACACACACACCTTTTCCATCGTAAACTTAGAGAAAATGAGTACGGTTAGTGTTCGGTTGTGGTAGAGAGAGCAAGGGATGGGTGGTGATGTAGAGGTTAAGAGGGTGTCCTGGTATTGGGACTAACACTGGTTTCTGTGACTATCTGTAGAGGTAAAGATACGTGCGTGGTGTGCTGCTCTGCTCAGGTTAGCGCAAGTCTGCAGCGAGAGGTCTGCGACAATTTTAATGCACAACTGCAGTTTATATTTTCTCTATCGGGTTGAGCCAGGACACTGGAAATCCTTTCTCCAATTTCTTCCTGCTTGTCTC